ACGAAAAAGGAATGCGAAAACGAAAAGCAGTCTTTTCAAAGCTTGAACAGGCTCTGACCACAGCAAAGCCATTCATTGCTAGCTCTTATCTCCAGCCCATCGTGTCAGCATAGGGTGTATCAAGTGTGAACTTCTACCAGTGTAAATTGAGATGGAAAAGTCACTGCCACTGCCCCTCTGGGACTTATGTCATCCCTCAGAAAGTAGGCTTGAAACGAAACGTATGGCAAGTTATGCATTAAATATGCAGAACTAGCTACCATTTTTAATCATGTATGCTGCTGCACAGCCACCACACCACGCGTTCTCCTGGAGAACAGCATTCTGTCTGCGACTGAAGCACAAAGGAGATGGCTGCTGCTCTCAGCTCAGCCACTGGCTGTGTGGCTTTCAGCACGTTACATTGCCTCAGCTTCTTACTCACAAAGCCTGGACAGCAATAATTATTATTTCTAATAAGGCCTCTGGAGTCCAAACACGCCACGTGGCATCCAGTAGTTGGAACAGCACGAGAATACGAAAATAATGGAAATGTTCACTGAGTAATCTTGTGCTGCTCACTGTATTCTGCGCATGCATTTGCTTGATTACTCCATGCTGAAAGGTTTACAAACATTTGTCTGGCTGTAAATTGTGAGAGATTTAGCTACAAATATGCCGCAGAGATTCAAATTGAGTTGTAAACTGGAGATAAAGGTTCACAAAGCTAAATAACAGCTGTGAACTGGGGATTTGGGATGCAAAGACAGGAGACCAAAGCCCAGGTTGCCATCAGGACCTGCAAACAACGCTATGAACAAATGCCCCAATCAGCAAAATCGTTCTGAAAACAAGGCAGCTGAAAAAAACAAGAAGATAAAATGGTCGTGCAGTGACCGTATGAACATTCAATTAAAACTGTTCTGTTTGAAGCGTCTCGTCACTGTTAGTCTTCAGGAGGATCCATTCTTTAAGAGGGAAGAGCACTTTTTCAAAGGGTAGCAGGTCTGAGCACAGCAGCAGAGACTGAAACTAAATGTGAATTTTGTCGAAGAGGATGTGAGAAGCGAGGCTGTGGTTTTACATCTTCAATGGCTTCAGTGAATGTTAGCTTCACAAAGTCAAATCCTTTAGAAATAATACTTGTAAAGCAGTGGGAGCAGCATTGTGATAAAAGATCAAAGCAAGCATTAAATACCGTGGATATAACACAAATTATAGAAGTGATCTACCAAAGGAGATTTCAAGGCTGATATTTACCAAAAAAAGCCAAGTCCTTCCTTAAGAGAATTCATCTTGCCACAAGAATATTGGAAACAGTAACAACAAAACCCCATCATTCTTAACTTAACAGTACGACACTGCATCCTCCACGGGATTCCCTAGAATTGCCCTGTTGGACTCGTACTCTCAGACTGAATTCAGCCACACTTTGCTTGGTTTCAAGGAGGCAGAGCAGCTGTACTTGCAGAACTGAGTAACCAATTTCATTCTGCTATGCAAAGGCAAATGCAGGCTCACTGGCGTGAACAGCAGTTGTAAACCCAGACTTCCTGGAATACTGAAGAAACAGACACACAGGTCATCATTACCCAACGTACTGCTGTAGCAGCTGCTTCAATATTACCCTTGCACAGTGGGGAAAATGTGTGAGCAGCTGAAGCTCACTGAAGGTATGATGGCCAGAAAGGCAGATGGGATGAATGGACCAAGCACAGGGCGGCACATGCTTCAGCCATGGGTCTCCTCAACCACATTTAGGGTCTCCTCTTCTGCTATGACTGAGTCCTGGCCATGCACAGTAAGTTGGATTGCTTTCCAGCCAGGTGTTTTCCTGCTTTGAATCACCAGCTAACACCAGCACAGTGGCCTCCATCACCAGGGTGGGAGCTGCACAGACTGGAGGTGTTGCCAGAAAAGAGATCACTGAATGGGGCCCTGAAGGAAACTTTCAGAAACGATTGGCTGGAGAAAAGCATTCAAATGAAAGGGCTGGGAAACTATTGCTAATGTGGGCACTGGGAGGACAGCAAGCAAAGCTGAGCAAGAGGCCTGAAGAGAAAAGGAGAGGAAGGAGGCTGTGATGTGCACACAAGTTGCTGAAACACCTGAAGGACAGTGCTGCTTCTAATCTGCAACGAGCTCAAACCATTACACTAACATAATTACAATACCAATATTTGTGCTCCTCAAGCATTACAACTGCCTTGGTGTTGCCTCGTGCACCACTTGGATGTGCAGAAGCACGTGCAAAAAAAAAGCAACCATTACCTGAAACCAACACACGAGAAAAAGCAACCATTTACCCTTCATGACTGATCACTGATGGCAGCCACAGCAGATTCTGGGGGTCGACTCCCATTGTCTCATGATTTTTCAAGCATTCAGAAATTAACTTGCAGCGAGCCATCACTCCTCACTTACCATTTCATTGCTGATGACTCAGTACCTTTCCTTCACAATTGCTCTTTCTCAAGGTTATTTCCAGATCTACAACTCGACATAACCAGAGCGTGATGTCTGCACCTGCTGATTTCACTTTTGAGTTTGAATGCTGTGTTCTCTAGCAATAACTTTAACACGAGCCCCTGCCTGTCCTCTGACCCAGCTCCAGCCTTCTTCCCTCATCAGCTCTAACTTTCTCCAATTCTCATTAAAATATTTGGGAAAGAGGAGGCTTTTCAATATTTGGAACTTACTGCATTTTTAGACAGCTTTTTTTTTTGTCCCTTACAAACCCAGCGTAGGCACTGGCTGAGTAAACCCTTCCCAGCTCTCTGTTTTGCATCTCTTTGCTTTGCAAGTCTCCTTTTACACAAAACTTGATCCCAGATACATTATTTCATCTTTCACTTCCAGCAGTTGAGCAGGAATTGCCAATGCCATACATTCAAATTTCATTGCATCATTTATATCTGATTCCCTTCCCCCCAGCTTCCCCCAGTCCCCACTATATTCAGGAAAATCCATATTCTTTGCTCACACTTTTTCTCTAATTCCAGCATTCACTGGATTATAAAAGTGAGCTGAAGCATGCAGCACCTTGACCTCAACACATTATTTATAATAATGGTGGTTCCTTTCAGCTTTATATCTCTGGAAGCTTGGCAGCACCAGGCCTGTGACTGATATCCCACCTGTGAGAGAAGCCCTCCCTTCCCCTGTTTCTGTAATCACCATAATTTGTCTTAGGCAGTAAACATCTGATACAACAGTTTGTAATTCTCCCCCCACAGGTAAGTTGCACTCACCATGTTACCTTATGTCTTGCACATACAGCTCTGCTTTGGCACACTCTCATTTTGCTCATACAAACTTCTCCCTTGAGAACTGACTCATTGAAGAACAGCTCTGCTGCTCACCCCTGGCAGCTGTGGGTCTCAGAAGGCACAGCTCTGCCTGGGCTGTAAGAGCTGACACTGCAACCATCAATAGTGCTGTGTTAGAAACTTTTCCTTTGGCCTCCTTTGCCGCAGCCCTCTCTGCTTTCTACACAGCCTTTGGTCACCATCACCACCAAACATCACCTTATGTCAGCTTATGGTGCTTTCCCAAGCTGCATTTTAGAACTGCAGGCACCACCTCGGCTCAGAGAACTGATGACTCTGAGCTTCTCTTGACATCACCTGCTGCCCCAGGAAGCCCTGGCAGTGCAGGCAGGCAGGTACAGAGCTCAGCACACGACATCTCCATTTGCAGCAGGGGCCGTGCCCTTTCAATCTTCTTATTTTTGCAGTCAAGCACAAGGTGAAGCTTTTGGTAGCGTCTGCTCTTGCAGCACTGTGTCTTAATTCAGACTTGAGAGAGATGACACAGAGTTACCTTGGGCTCAGCTTTGTTCCCTTGCCTTGGAGGAATGCTCTGCACTTGAAGAGCTTCACAGCCATCAGCAAAGCAAATCAGATTCTGGAATTCCGTAACAGTTGAAATGAGAATAATACTTAGCAAATCCTTAATGATTCTGTGATTCTATGAAATACTCCATATAAAGGCCTCAAAGAAAAGCAGAGGGTTTATACAACACCTGGCATATCAACAACTGCTCCATGACAGCTCTTGGAAACATACGCTCTGTTCCAACACAACTCAGTGAGAAAGAACTGTCTGAAAAAGCAGAGTTTGCTGCTGAACCTCAAGCAGAAAGAACAAAGAAAGCAACTGCACTTCATGATGGGCAGAGGGTTGGTGCTTCTCAGTTCGGTTCCTGCCATTCTAACACAGGGTTCTGATGGCTTGGGCCACCTGAGGGGCACCTTCCCTTCAGTGGAAGATGCTGCCCAAGCCTTGCTACTGCCAGCTGAGCACGGCGTGTGGCTGCTGCTGCCAAACCTTCTGGAAATGGAAGCTAAAGGCACCCAGCGAGGAGAAGCAACAAACGAGGCCTTGATGAGGGATGTGATGCCGTATAAACTTCTATTGGAGTCTTATTTTAAAACACACCAGCCCCTGTTTCACAGTGTGTGATTGGAGGGTATAAATGTAGCGTGAACAAAGAGAAGGTAGAGGGGAAATTAGACAGACATATAAAAGGAAACTGGTGGTATTTGGAGCCTCGCAGGGCACAGACACACACAGCGCACGGGGGGTAGATGGTGAGCTTTGTCAGCATTTCCTTCTGTCTATAAAAAAAGGGTGAATATTACGGTGTGAGCTGGGAGTGGGGCACTGCGGCTCACACACACGGCTGTGGCCCTGCAGACCCCCCCTCTGCCCAACATTCAGCGCAGCAAAAGTCGGTCCTTAAGCAAACGATGGTCACCCACATCCAGCCGAGAGAAAAACAAGTAACAGTGGGCCTTCTTCATTAGGAGCCCTTACAGATAGCCGTTAACAGCGCGAGAAATAAGAATCCAACCCCGCGTTCCTGTACACCGGCTGCTCCGGGGAGGGGTGTGTGCGAGCTCAGCTCCCAGCACTACGGCTGCGGGGTTCGATTCCTTCCCGGGGGGAGCGGCACGGCGGGGGAGGGCGCGGGGCGGAGCGGTGCGGGGCGGTGCGGGGCGATGCGGCCGCGTGCACGCGTGGGACGCGCGGAGCTGAGCGGCGCCCAGAGCCCCGGAGCGGGCAGCGATGCTCCGAGCGCCGAGCCGCCGCAGGCGGGGCTCCTTTAACGGCCGCTTACCTCAGCCGAGCGGGACGACCCTCAGCCGGGAGCCGTTTGGCTGCTGGCAGCAGCGGTAAACGCAGCTCCTGATCTCGGTGCTACGTGCAGCCTCCAATAAGCCCGTTTTTACTTCGGGGCGTAACGCGACGGCGCTGCGCGCTCCCCGTTGTGCCGGTAAGGCGGCGGCGGCGGGCGGGAGGACGGCGCTTCCATAGCGATGCGCTGCTGTGCGAGGGGTGCGTGAGGAGCTGCTGGGTTTGACTCAGGCTTTTGGGGCACGGTTTTGCTGGCAGCGAAGCCCGAAGGATGTTTACCCAGTCAAAGTGGCAATTTCAGTTTATTGGAAGGCAGAGCGTTTATCTGAAGAACCGTGGGGCTGCGATTGCTCATCCCGGCACTTACGACTCACCTACAGACTTGGCTGCTGTCAGCGTGTTGGTGTGAAGCTGAGGTGCTGCAGCAAAACGTTTCCATCCGAAGAACCCGAGGATTCATACCCGTTTGTACGAACCTATAGGAAAATCTCGGTTCGGGTCAGTGGAAGAGAACCCACGTCCTCAATAACGGGAGTGCTGCCTCCTCCTACCATCTGCACTGTGGACATCGGATCTGGATTCTCAGCAGGGTTTCCCTGCACTCCATCTCTCCTCGCTGTTCATTGGTGTGTCCTTAACTCCATCTCCTTGGTACTCTCACAGCTGTAGGCTGCCCCATCCGAATGTGTGCCACAGCAGTTTGCCACTGGAGAGGTGAGAGCAATCCACCTGCAAAAGGTGAGGAAAGTGTCAGCGTTGGGCTCTAGGAAGCCCCAGACGTTTTCATCCTGTCTCTTACCCCTCCCTTCTTCTTCATTTCTTTCTTCATCCCCAAAGAAACAGATCTCGTGCTGCACAGTACGATGTTTGCTTTGAGGTGACGGAGCTAGAAGGCAGCTGGGACGAAGGGTGGTGAAGCAGGCTGGGGTGACACCCATGTGAGGTGGCTGGTTGGTTTCAGCAGCATCAGAAACCCCGGGCAGGCAGCAGCAGTGGGCAGACAGCAGGCTGGGTATGCGGGCAGCCTGAGCTGTGTGCCCTGGGCTTCCCCAGCACCTCTGCAGGCTGCCTGGCTGGCAGGAGCACAATGGGGAGCTCAGGCTGGAAAAGAGGTGCAGGACTTTAGGAATGTGACAGCTGCTGGAATGTGGCAAGCAAAAAGGCAGCTTGGGGAGAAATAGCACGTGTTCTTATTCCTTGAGAAGAAAATGAAGAGGCTTGAGAATTGCTGCTTCTATACACTGATTGTTCAAACTTCCTTGGTACGGCGTGTCCTTTCTGCTTCAGCTTCTGCTAAATTTTAGCTGTCGCAAGGAGTTGAAGAAGTTTACTGCAAAATTGCAAATGTACCTCAGTGCAGGAGGTACAAAAGCAGAAATGAATGAGAAAAACCTTTGTCCTTTGCATGGGGGGTACTGAGGGTCTGTTCTGGTTCTCTTTTGCAGCAAGGTTTTTGGTTCTGGGCTTACAGAGCATCTTTGGGAGGGAAAGAAGGAAGTATGTCTCTCCTTGAAGCACAGTGTCAAAGTATCAGTGACTCTAAGCTGTGTGCCAGTCTGCAGGGAGAGCCAACGTAATGCAATGCAATCCAGTTGCTGCTTAGGATTGCATCTTGTGCCACAACTCAGCAATGTTAGCAAGGAGAGGTAATTAGAAAGGACTGATGAAGTAAGGATTTTGAATTTTCTGAAGTTATGAAATGATGTTTTCTCACTTTTTAGGAACTGGTAAAAGGTGATCATTTCTGTGTAGGGAACAAAATGCAATTTGCATGGATTGTACCTGCCACAATTTGTTTGCTGATGTACTTCACAGCAGGTAAGATTTTGTTTTTACGTATGTAGCAATTAGCACTTAAAAGAAGCACTGGGTAATCAGTGTTTCCATTCAGACACACCAGTAAACATCTTTCTTATTCGAGAGAGCAAAATTTGATGCTCAGTTAGGCTTACACTGTGCTTTCCTTAAGAGCTCATTGATCCACTGCTACCATTGAGTGTCTTCCCATTCTTCGTGGCAACTTTCATTAAAGAGCAGTGAAAAAAGAAGTTCTGATGAGTAGATTTTGCCTTGGGTTGTGTTTCTCGTTGTGATCACTGGTAGTGAGGCTTTGGTTTCTGATCTCCATTTAATCCAGTCAGTGAAGACTGGACAGTAATACATCGTAAGTTACAACTCAGAGACAAGGATCCTTATCCTTACATGATAAATTGGGCATGACTGTCTTCCCAGAGGTAGCATGTTTTATGAGATAAGCAATATAGCCATTTTAAAGGTTTGTTTTCCCATTCTGTTGCAGAAGCATGCAGTAAAGGAAACGTGTCTGCCAGCAAACTTCCCCACAGTGTTGCAGAAGTATGTGAAAAAGGAAACATGACTGCTAACACTGCTGCTCATGTCCAGCCTGGAACCAACGTTGCCCTCTCCTGCCAGCTAAAACAACTGAAATACAGCGAGCAGTGCAAGATAGCTCTTTTCTTTAACGGTTCTGAACTGACAAGCAGTTATGGCACTTCAGTAAGCAACACGTTTCCAGTCAATACGTATGGCAAACACATGTTTACCTGCAAAATCGATTGTGAATACAAGAAAAAACTCATTTGTGGAATTGATATCGAATCTGGAAGTAAGGAGAGTTTCATTATTCCTTGTTCTTTCTGGTGTGCCGGGGTGCCTCTGAAGCAGAGGTTAGGAGCTCAGAGGGGGTGGCCTTTTGTAGAGAAGGTGCTGTGTTGTACTGTCTTTATGTCTGAAATACTGCTGGCTGCAACTATGCAACACAACAGAGGCCTTTCACAGCCTGATTCCCAGCTCCCCAAGGGGATGTGGGCATCTGGGGGGCTCTGTGTGATGTCTGTCTCACTGCACCCACTGTGTCTCACTTCTGACAGACCTATCCTGCTGCTTTATATGCAGTGGCAACTTCTGCATGTCAGCAGCTTGCTGCTCTCAACGTTTTAAAGGAAGAAACTGATCAGAATATCTGCTTAAGACCCTCCAGATCAGCCAAGAAATGTGTCGTGTATCCAGTATGGGACAGATGGCAACCTTACCTGCACCTGGGCCAAAGGAAGGTTTACACACATGAACACTACATATGTGATACAGTAAGTAACACAGGGTTCTTTAAAGCCTATAATCACACCTTAGAGGGGTTTTTATGTTAGTTTTAGGTTGCTTGTTACAGATTTACCCTTTATCAGCTCACACAAGAGCCGCTTTCTGAATAAATCAGTACCAGGCTGCCATGATCACAAAAGACCTTTTCTGGTTAGAGCTGTGTGTGCTGCACAGCAGCAGTTTAGTTACTTCTGGGTTAAGCACACTAAGAGACTATGCCAGCTCATGGCTCTTTTATTGTAAAAGGAAGTTTAATAGTAGAAGTAGCCTTAAATTGGCTGCTGTTTTCCCATCGTGGATCTTCTCTACGTAGAGATGTTGTGATCAGCAACCAGGAAACCTCAGTTCTGAGCCTCTCACTGCATCTCACGGTTCAGCTAAGGAGATGGAAAGAGAACTTTTCCAAACTGTGTTATTCTTGCTTCCTCTTAAAGAACCAGCAGTGCTGCAGCTCTCTCTGCTTTTGCTGAGCTTTCCCTGACATGGACTGCAGACCCGTGCAGCAAGCTATGAGTGAAGGACAAATGGATTTATCTCCCACAGTGTACGAAAAGGTATTAACCAGGAGCTTTCCTTCTATTCTAGGCTATCAGATGGGACTGACACCTTGTGCTTTTCAGAAGAAAGTCTGAGTAACAACTTCGGCTCGCTGGTTCTGAGCACAAAGTTGAATTTTGAATCTACTTACAGACTTGTGGTTGTCGCCTCCAACAAACTAGGAAGTGCTTTTTCACAGCCACTTATGTTCATGCTAATAGACATAGGTAAATGCCTTGCTTACCTTTTTTCAGTTAGCACTGGCTATGTGGAGAAAGCACAAACCAGCACTCTGTCTTTGTTGTTTAAGCCTGGCAGAGAAAGTATCCATCCATCATCCATCCATCCATCATCCATCCATCCATCCATCCATCCATCCATCCATCATCCATCCATCCATCCATCATCCATCCATCCATCCTCCATCCATCCATCCATCATCCATCCATCCATCCATCCATCATCCATCATCCATCATCCATCCATCATCCATCCTCCATCCATCCATCCATCATCCATCCATCATCCATCCATCCATCAATCATCCATCCATCATCCATCATCCATCATCCATCATCCATCATCCATCCATCATCCATCCATCCATCCATCATCCAACCATCCATCCATCATCCATCCATCATCCAACCATCCATCCATCATCCAACCATCCATCCATCCATCCATCCATCCATGCATCCATCATCCAACCATCCATCCATCATCCATCCATCCATCCATCTCAACCACCCATTCTATTCACCTAACCCACTGTTTCTTGCTGTGATGCACATCTGAGTGCTGTTTCTTTGTTTTGTTTCTGTTTTTGCTGCCAGTGAAACCACATCCTCCAAACTTTTTAGTGGAATTTGAAAATTCTGCAACAAATTGCACGTTGTTCTGGCGCAGTGAAGTCCAAGGGCAGCACTGCAGAGTGAGATACCGTCCAGTTAGCAGTTCCACCTGGAACATGGTAATCCTTTTCTGAAGAACAAATTAAATTACGATCCTTGGATGCTCCTTTAATATTGTTATTTCTCTCTCAGGTCTGCTCTGTAGCATCTTATTTAAGAAAAACTATCGCCTACTCCTCAAAGCTTCTATTGCTGGTCTGATACTGAATCTGATTCTGAATGAAGGTGGAACACTTAGCATGAAAAAAAGAAACACAAAAAAATCCTGCCATGTATCGAGTGTGATGCACAATCAGAGCTTGTGTTTGGCACACCACTACTAAAACATGGTCATTTCTGCTCATTGTAGCTCAAGGGCATGGGTGTGTGTTTTCCAAATGCTTGTGTCTTCTTTAATGCTGGTTGTATTTTAAGTGCTAAAACGAAGGGACTGCTTGAAGCTGAGTAAAATATATGAACGTAGAACTCCTTATTCACCCTGTTTCCCTGTGAGTTTAATGTTATACATCCTTTATCTTCACTGAAGGTTGAAAGTTTAGAGAGTGAAAAATGCAATCTTCATGGCCTGGAGCCTCATACAGAGTATGAATTTCAAGTGAGCTGTAAAATTCATCCTGAGAGGGGACTGTGGAGCAACTGGAGTGCAATCCAATCCCAGACTCCAGAAGCAGGTAATATGATTTGTTATACTAAGCCTGTGTCTAACAGTTTACATTGAAGCATAAACTTCAGCTAATGAATTCATTGAATGGCCTGGGCTGCAAAGGAGCACAATGCTCATCCAGTTCCAACCCCCTGCTGTGTGCAGGTCGCCAACCAGCAGCCCAGGCTGCCCAGAGCCACATCCAGCCTGGCCTTGAATGCCTGCAGGGATGGGGCATCCACAGCCTCCTTGGGCAACCTGTGAACAGTGCATCACTACCTCTGGCTGAACTCAAAACACTGTTTGCTTTTTGCTCCTGGCTAGAATCCATAAATCCAGAAACAAAGCCAACAGGGAAGTAAACTTCTGTAACAGAACAGGTCTTTTCTGTGAACAGAAAACAACCAGCTCGCGTTTCTGATGAAACGGGAATTTCAAGAGCTCACTGAGAAATGCTGAAGGATATATTCTGTTGACATGATTGAAGGTTGGAGGAATTTTCTGTGCGTTGCCCAGAGGATTTGCAGCCTGTCACACTGCTGCACATCTGGAAAAGCCAGAGAAATCTGTGCTGCTTAATTGGGAAAAGGAGAACGTTTCGTATTGGTTTGTATCAAAGCACTTACAGAATTGCTGCAGCAGTCCCATAGAAAAGACAGCACGGCTGGCAGGGGACTCAGTCACTGAGGAACATCACTGAGGAACATCACGTTTGGGAAACACACGCTGGGTTCCTGAGCCTGCTGGACACTTTGCTGAGGAGCTGGATGGCCCAGAAAACTGCCTCTGCTGGCTCAGTTCAGTTGCAGTTTGTGACAGAATGGTTTAAAGTTGCTGATTCATCTTTTTCTGAGTAATGAAAATATTTCATGATGATTGCCAGCTAGCTCTCTCCTCTAAGCAGTGCAGTCACTGGAGATCTCTATAGCCTTAATGGGTGAGAACTTGGCCAGGCATCTCCCAGTGCTCTCCCATCATGAATGAGAACGTGAGAACAGAGCATTTCTGCTCGGTGGGACTGCACAGCAGAGCCCAGGAGATGCAGCACAGACATGAGCTCAATTCTCCTCTTTTACACCAATTCTAACACCAGTTAGCTGCGGGGTCCCCATCTGCGTGCCCAACTTCTGTGTGCTCTTATGAAAGAAGAAAGCTTCTCTAGAAGAATCTCAGCAAAGATGCGTTGGCATCCCCTCCTTTCATCTCCTGGTTGGCTTTCATTTCTCTTTTTTTGTGAATTACTATAGGCTCTCCAGGCTCCCACATCTGTTACTCATGCTGTTTACCACTTCTGCCAGCAACAGTTTCTGTAAGAAGCATTGATTGATGCAAAAGGTGTGAACTTCTTCCCTCCCCCACCTTCCTCTCAACAGTTTTCTTAACCTTCTCAATGCACTCAGCGTTGCTACAGTGTCTGTGGTCATCACCCCCCTTCCCCCAGGCAGTGCTGCAGAACCAGACTCTCCTCAGCTGCTCAGGGAGCATTTCTGAAGAGTGAGGTGAGGCTGCAGATGATGAGCAATACGTACATCATTCTTGCTCTTCTCCAAAGTACTGAAGTTTTCACACTACTTTGGCCTTCAGTGAATTCAAGACTGCACCTTTTATACTTAAAGCTGTTGTTTTTTTTTTTTCCCCCATGTTTCTCCAGGCCACAAAACTTGCTTTCTGCAAACACTTTAGTGACGCGAGCCTTTCTTTTCCACCTAATTTGTGTGGCTCATGTTGAAAAGAACCACCAAATCTGGGCTGCTGTTCAACAGATACAATCTGCTTTTTTTTTTTTTCCCTTTCCCTTCCTGCTTTGAACTTGCCCCTTGCTCACACTGAGTGCATTCTGGTTGCATTTCTTCTGTGCATCCCATGGTTTCATAGAATCGCGAGGTTGGAAATGACCTGCAAGATCAAGGTTTGTTTGTTTTCTGTTGTTTTCTTTCTTTTTTTTCCTATTTCCAGTCGCTATTATGAGCAGGACAAATAGTTCTTAACATTGCTGGCACTGAGGATTTTTTCTGTCTTTGCGTTTAAGAAATAGCAGAGGCCTCAGCCCCAGTCTAAATAGGGCTGTGCATCAGTCGCCTGCTGTGAGGTTATTAGAAACCCTTGTTTGATTTTGATGAGTTGATTGTGCTCAAGCATCTTGAGGAGCCAAGCTTGGTCACACTGCCTTTCTTCGTATCTCTTCATCCGATTCCGAATTGGTGGAGCTCGTTCTTAATTAGATTTGCAGTCAAAAACAGTAGGGTTCAGTGAGTATCATTTAAAGATCAAAGGTTTTCAGGAAGCACCTTCCTTGGACCTTAATTCACCTCAACTTCTACGTGAAGATGAGAGCCAATACCATCCCTTTGATTTATAGGCTTTCTTGGAAGTCAGTGCAAAAGGAAATCACAGGCAGACCACAACCCCTCTTACTGAGATGCTTTGTTCCTTGTGACTACGGGCACTGGGCAGCCATCACTGCAGCTGGACTCTAGCTGTAATGGCAAATATAAGCTTGAAATACAGAACGATACTTTTAGGACTACAGCACTTACATGATTTCTGAGGTTCCAAATCTTAAATGAGTTGTTTGAGGATTCTTACTTTTGTAGCCTATTTGATGTCTTGTTTGCTTCAAAATACCGTCATTAATTCTGTTTCTTTTCTTTCCCAACCAGTGCCTACTGGGCTCTTAGACGTCTGGTACAAAAAGCAGGATATAGACTCTCAAATGCAGAACATTTCTCTTTTTTGGAAGGTAAGTTAAGGAAAACTTAGCATATGCAGAAATAATGAGCAGCTTTGGAGGGGAACCCCACGTTATGTGTTTGCAGGAAAGGACTTAAAGCAGGGCACAGCAGTGCTTTGTCCAGAGATATGTAATTACTCACAGTAACTCTACTACCCAACACTGTCCTCATTTTCTACCTCATTGTATACAGTCAGAACACAAAATATTGGAGGAAAGGGGGATCTGTGCCCCATGTGATCAGTGGGCATCTACATCATATGTGTGCCTTTGACTGTGAACTCCTTCTAGAGGAGCTTCTGCTCTGAGATGAAGAACAGGGTGATGAAGAATGGGGCAGATAGAGGAGCTGAGTCATTCTAACTGGCTTTCCATTAAGGTAACCAAATTCCATAAAGCTTTTAAAAAGCTGGATATAGCCTGGGTAATTTCAACTGCTCTGTCCATGTTGGTGCTTTGCCAATGGTCAGCTGCATCCCTTGTTTACTGCAGTAGCAGAAAGAAAACATGTCTCTGTACAGGTGTGAAGCAGGCGATGGGCACACACAGAATAGTTGGCTCGTATACAGCTGTAGATCTGAAACTGGACAAGCTCAGAGCAAGTATTTCCATACAGAAAGGGCAGAGCTTTCAGAAAGCTGGTGAATGAGGCCCTATAAGAAAGTGACTTTTTCCTTATCATAAAACCATAGAATGGGTTGGGTTGGAAGAGACCTCAAGGATGATGAATCTCCAACCCCCTGCCACATGCAGGGCCACCAACCTCCACATTTAATACTAGACCAGGCTGCCCAGGGCCCCATCCAACCTGGCCTTGAACACCTCCAGGGATGGACGGGGCATCCACAGCCTCTCTGGGCAGCTGTTCCAGCACCTCACCGCTCTCACAGCAGACAACTTCCCCCTGGCATCCAGCCTCAACATTCCCTCCTTCAACTTCAAACCATTTCCCCATAGCCAACCTAAATCTCCCCTCTTTAAGTTAGGAACTTTTCCCCTTGTCCTATCATCACAGACCCTGCTGCAGTGAAAGTAAGTTTGTTTTTAGGCAGCAAGGAGCTAAAGAGCTTCACTAGACTGGAATTACACAGGAAAAATAAGAAATAAGAAATAGATAAGAAACAGATACACGACCTGCAGAAGGAATCTCAGGTAAAACCTATGCTCTCGTCATTACCATCAGGGAATTAATTCACTTCAGTTACAATTTTGCTTTAAAACAAACAAAACCAGCAATCAAATATGAAGACATCTAACACTACATAGAAGAAGGTAATAGATTTAACAAGGGAGAGGTTGTAAGGGTACTTCTTTCTGAGAGCTGCAGCTGGTACCAGGGAACTCCATTTAGCAACTGAACACTCTGAAATGGGAAACGTCTTTGTGCAAGCACCAAGCTGCTGGGGAGCCACGTGTCTTTCCACTTTTAAGAGAGGAGAAAGTAAAAAGCCAATCATTTGTTACCAAAGAACATTAGCTGGTATTTACTATTGTCCAGCACGCGATGCTGTTGCTGTCAGGAATTCCTTTACTACGATGAGAACAAAAAGAGAGGAATAAAATACCTTCAAGTGAAAGCTCCTCTCTTAAATCAGCTAGGTTGAGCATTTGAACCAGGGAGGTGCTTTGGAGCCACCATCTGCCATGAGCCTCTATATTAAAGGGCTGACAGTGGCAGACTGATGGTAGCACAGAGCTGGTAGCAAATCTAGTGATCTTTCTGACTTTTTAAAGATGATCACCGGCTCCTAGGAGGCACTGAAACCTTACTTTGGACTTAATCTTTCTTGGAAAGGAAGAAAAACATGTTGATTCATTCATGCCAGGAAATAACAAGTGTCCCAACCGCCTTCACAGGAGGTTCTGAAATGAGGCTTTGCCTCACGCGTTGCCTCATGTGGAAAAGGCTCTGCACTCGTTGCTCGTTGGGAATCTCACAATGAATGGGCAAACTGCAGGTGGACATGAATACGTGTGTGTGTGTGTGTGTGCTCCTCCAGGCCTTGCTCGGGAGGGTCTGTAACAGAAATCCCTCTTTTGAGAGAAGGTCCAGTTCTTAGCAGATGGAGTGTTTGGCTCCCCAAATCAGCCGAACGAACCAGTCACTGTCAGTGGCTGAAAAGCAGTTCTGTTCACTTTTGTTTTCCTTCAACCCCCACGTGGAACACTGACACTGCAGTTGTGTGACACGTTCATCCTGCAGAGAGGCAGCCAACCTGGAACAGCTGGCTGAGCACAGCGGCTTCAGGAAGCCAAACCAGTGCCTCCTTCCCTGAGCAGGTTTAAAACATCAGTCTGGTGCCATCGGAGTTTTCTCTCTCAATGGCGTTGGCTTTTTTTTCCACCTCTCTTCCAGGTTTTTCCCTTGACTAAAAACGTAACAAACACATTTTCTTTGCAGGCTTTGCAGAAGTCGGAGGCGAGAGGAAAGATCCTGCATTACACAGTGACCTTAGAAGCACTAAGCCACGGGGAGCCCAAAGCAATAGAAACAAATGTGACCACACAAACCAGCTACACCAGAGTCACTCCAAAGATGGACTACAAGATAACAGTCACTGCTGATAACTCGAGGGGAAGCTCACCTCCTGCATCCATCCTGACCAACCTGAGCATCCAAGGTAAAGCCTTCCACTCTTCTCAGCCATTGGAAATCACCTCAGCTCTGCTTTGTTCTGCTCACAGCTACGTACCATAGAAAACCATTGAAACATTGAGGTTCTGCCACTCTGTGCTCCTTCGTGTTGATCTGCACACACCTCCAGGGATCTGCAGTGACTGCAGCCCAGATCCACTCACAGACGTGGTCAAGGACTGCAGTGTGGTTTCCTGATGAGCCAAGTTGCCCTGAATCAGCACTGCCATAACTTTAACCCCTCCTGCTGACAGTGCAAGCCATCCAGGCACCTGACACAGCAGACATCTAACTATGGCGAAAAAAAGAAGAGTAATGGCTTCTTTTCATCTGTTTTGTATGAGGGAGGGCAGAACCGAAGGGAGCGTGGTGGTAAGGGGTGAAACATGGTAAAAACCAGGTATCAAACTTAGCAAGTTACCTTAAGGCTGAGGCAAATCTGTGCTGATGGTGTGGTTTCTGTTTGGTTGTTCTTCCTCCCACGACAGATTTACCCTCTCCTCGGAACGTCTCTGCTGTGGCAGTGGGAAATAACAGCATCTTGGTCAGCTGGAAACCTCCCATTAAATCCACTGCATCCATCACCGGGTACGTTGTGGAATGGATAAACACCCATAGGAAGAGCAGCCTGGAGCCCCATCCAAGCTGGATAAGACTTGTTGCATCCAATCTGTCTATAGTGATACCAGGTGAGCACCACAGAGAAGCAGGATATTGTTGACATACTATTTTAATTGTGAGAGCCTTTTAGGGAACAAGTCAGGCTCTAATTGTTACTAATTCAGCATAAGAGACTGCCATGTTCAAAGCCTTTTACACGGAAGGACAACAATGAGTGGTTTGGCAGTCCCTCAAATGAGATATTTACCTGGTAAGTGGAATGCCTCAAAAAAATAAATAAAATCAGTCCTTCTGAAATGCAGTAAGACAAAGATCAGAGATTTAAGAAGAGAATCATAGAATGGCTTGGATTGGAAGAGACCTCAAGGATCAGTTCTCATTCTAATAGTTTTCATAGAATCACAGAACGGCCTGGGTTGCGAAGGAGCACAATGCTCATTTATTTCCAGCCCCCTGCTGTGTGCAGGTCGCCAACCAGCAGCCCAGGCTGCCCAGAGCCACATCCAGCCTGGCCTTGGATGCCTCCCATTGTTGGTCACTGACCCAAACCAGAACTACAGCAGCAATATTCGTTATCCTAGATGGCTTCAAAGTCACAATCAGAGCACTGCTGATATTCCAGTTAGTCCTTCCTACGTTGTCTTGGTGCTGTGCCTCCCAGGGTTTGAAATCCCTGCTCTCACAGACTGGCCAAGGTTGGAAGGGACCTTAAGGATCATGAATCTCCAACCCCTCTCAAGCAAGCAGGAAAAAAATAACACGTTCATGCCAGTACTTTGTACTCTGCTTTAAGAAAGGGAAGCATTAATTACTGTCACTCTTCCATAACCCACATTAAGTCCAGGGGATAAATCTGAGCAGGTGAATATTTTAGCCATAACTGCAAATATTTTATTGGGATAATCATTTCTGTTTCTTCATTTAGAGCACATAGAAGACAACGTGTGCTATCACATTAGTGTGTTTGCACTGTATCAGGACAGAGCTGGGCAAGTGAAATCAGTGAGGGGATACTCGAGAGGAAAAGGTAACTGCAGTAACAGTCTCTCAGATCTTTAAAAGCCAGCTTGAACTGCTCAGCATTAAAAGCTGCATGTCATGTTATGTTTTGTAGCACCATCAGCTGGGCCACAAGTGTACACAAAGCCACAGGCAAACGGCATCTTGGTTTGGTGGGAAGAAATCCCTTCCCACCAGCAGATGGGCTGCATCACACAGTACAATATATACCTGCAAAAAAAGCACAGTAATGTGGATCCTTACGTCTACGGTAGGAACCTGGGGAAAAAAACAATGCGATGTGCAAGTGCTGTTCATTGATGGGAGAGGGGTGGTGAAGAAAGAGGCTTCAGGAAGGAGCCCCAGGCAGCTCACCTAGCAGCAAGATCCAGATCCAGTTCTCTGCTACGGCTGCTCACGAACAAGGCTGCATTTTTATACCCATGTATGAAGTTAGACGATTCTCAGTTATTCTGAATGAAAAAAAAATTCTCCCCCGCTTTTTTTTTCTTCTTTTTGTTATTTTCATAAGTCACAGCCCTGCGAATAACAGCTAAGAGCTGTATTCAACAGATGTCAGCACGCTGAGAACACAGCAGGTGATACGCACTGCGTTCCTGCACTTGGATGCCTTCCCCATGCATGGCCTTTTACTCCCATGCTTAAATCCAGGACAAGAAATGCTTTTTCTTCTCTTACTCAGGAGTTGCATGACAGCCTTTAATGGATGTTTCGTAGTTCCACCATGCAAACCTCATTTCAGATTTAGACACTGATTTACCAAACTACAATAGGCAAAGGACAGGGTAGGCAATGCTGTGCAGTGCCACAGGTCTCAGAGCAACCTCCATGGCCTGAGCTCTGCTATAGCCCTTGCAAGGACTCAGTGACACAGACAAAAAGGTTACTTACAGCAATAGAGAACTTCTGCACGTTCCAGCTTCTGGAAACACAATTCTTCTTGGAGCTACATGCAGTAAGAATACATGCTAGGATTTTTATTGGCTTTTCCCTCTTTCTCTTTTAGCCATTCGTAATACGACATCCCAGCATTCGTTTTACATCACAGATCTACAGCGTGGGGAGTATTACGACCTGTGGATGACAGCACTGACAGATGCTGGAGAAAGCCCCTGGGGAAACAGAGAGCTGGTCTGCTTGGAAAGTAAGGAGCTGCCGGGACCAACTGAGTCCTGTGTGCGGTCCCTGCTTCTGTGCTGCCCAGGGGCTGCAAAAACAAACTTGTGCCCTGTGCCAAGGGGAGGCTCAGTACTTGGAAGGTCAGCAATCACGTATTTTGGATTATGGACTGCCTCTCTCAAGAGAGTTGTAGACATCCTAACGTTATGAAGCACTGTTGTGCTCAAATGTCACTGCTTCGTTCAGTTCCCCGATTTCAAACCAAACACTTCTGGTATTCTTTACAAGTGCAAACTATGAGCGTTGGCCAGTTTGAACTAGAATGAATTTTCCTCATTAAAACAAGGTTAAAAGGTCTGTTCCTTTGAATCAACTCTTTGAAAGGCTGAGTGACAGCAGTACAAGTGGAAATGGCTTTAAGTTGAGGGAAGGGAGATTTAGGTTGGGTGTCAGGAGGAAATTCTTTACAGAGAGAGTGGTGAGGTACTGGAACAGGCTGCCCAGGGAGGCTGTGGATGCCCCATCCATCCCTGGAGGTGTTCAAGGCCAGGTTGGATGGGGCCCTGGGCAGCCTGGTCTAGCATTAGGTGGGATGGTTGATGGCCCTGCATGTGGCAGGGGGTTGGAGATTCATCATCCTTGAGGTCCCTTCCAACCCTGGCCATTCTGTGATTCTGTTCCGTGTTCCAGGTGCTGTGGACTGGATTATTGTGCTCACCTGCAGCTTCTTCATACTCTCAGCCTGTATTTGCTCCCTGCATCCTGCAAGAAAACTGTGAGTGGACTAGGACATTGCATTCCGTGGGAGTAACACGTGGGAGTTTTGCTAGAGGGCATATTAATATGCTCTCAGGACATCTTGGGGAACAGGGAGGATTGTTTTGAACAAAGGTTTTGGATAATGTGAGTGGTAAGAACACTACATTGTGCTTAGGAGATAGCTATAGCTCACGTCACGAGCTTGTAACTGAGATCTTAAGGCCTGCTTCCACTGAACCTGAGCTGCTACAAACCTCGGTCACTTCCTGAGAGGGAAGTCAGCCCCTGTGACAAAAAGCCCTTTTACTTTAAAGCAACACAAACACGTCCCCAACCAGATTTTCCAGGGCTGAGTTCATGGCCATGCTGAGCAGGCTCTGCTGTTAGTCATGCACACCTAACGAGGGCTGGCTGCAGGACGATGCTGTGCTGGTTTTTGCTAAGTCAGTAATTGCTCAGTGTTACCTCACTGCTGGCTTTGCACCTGGAACAGCCAAAAACGAACACACTAAAGACTACAGACCAGTGGGGAGGGCAATAATATATACTCATAAAGTGGTGCCTTGGCCAGAAGCATTTGAAGAAGTGGAAATCCAAAGCTGTGCAGTCCAATCAGCCAAACGCTGTGTCCTCAAAAACTTGGGCAGGCTCTGCCAGTCCCACCCAGCCTGAGTTCCCGCTGTTCTATAGTAACGCAGACTCATTACACGGAATTCTTCAGTAATTGCACACACAAACAGCGCATTGCAGCTCAGCAGAACTTGCAGGTATTGGCATTTGTGCTTTTAACTTCACTTGTTCCATCCGCAGATTGCTCTTGCTCTTTTCTGCCACTGTACCTCAGTGGTACAACAAAGCCATTCCAGATCCAGCTAATGCTACGTGGGCTAGGAACGACAAGTCTATGAAGGTAAATGAGACTTTTGTTTTTTCCTTCTAACCCCATCATCTTCAGCAGAAAGAGCAGTCAGAGCCATGCAAATCAGACACCTCTTAGAAGAGCAAATCCTGCACTTTCTGGCACGGAAGCAGCTGTTGTGTATTGCGTTACACATGGTGTGCATCACACAGTGACTGCAGAACTGTGCAGGGTTATTTCCCACTTAGCAGTGGTAGCTGGTGTGTGGAGATGCCTGCATTTTGGGGGTGGGTTGGAGGGCACAAGGCACTGAGTGCAGGATTAACGAGCACTGCTGTTTGTGTGCCCCCCAGCAGGGTGAGCTGAGCGTGCCCTCCAGTCTGCTCCTGCACAACACCAGCGGTTTTGAAGAGCCTGAAACAACAGAAGTAGAGGAAAGCTTCGTGCAGACGGACTGCCAGGTTTTTCAGGACAGGCTCATCTTCAGCAGCAGCAATCATGACTGGCCACTGGAAAGCAGCTTTGAGAAGCAGGACTCGGAGTACAGGCCTCTGCCCAGCACCACAGATGGAGACAGTTACGAGCATCAGCTTCCCGACTTGTACAAGAAGCTGGTGCTGGAAGTGACAGAGCAAACACAAACCGTTTCTGAGTACATTGCTAATCCAGCTACTGACAGAGCCACAGCTTACCTGCCCTCAGCCATCTCCCCACTTGTCACAGACACTACTGAAGAAGACCCTGAACTTGAGTACAATCCCATCTCTGTCTTCTCAACAACTTTTTTGCCACCAGAATTTTCCTATGGAGGGAAACTTAATTTGGACACGGTGAGACTGAACTGCAGCTCCTTCACAAGGTAGGCTGTCAGGGTGGCACAACAGCCCGGCCCGAACGTTTGCACTTTAGCCAAGTATTGCAATGCGTCTCATTGCAACTAGGACAGCAACTTGCACATCACACCTCAGGTAACACAACCCAACTCACAAACCTTTCCAGGTTTTAAGTCATGCCTTACTTTACAGCGCAGCAGCTCTTCACCCAGAGCACGCTTAGGTAGAATTAAAAACAAAAATCCAGGTTGCTGGGGCTGTCAGCAGGCTTCTTGAGATTAATTGCTCAGGCTGCCTGCAGAGACCCAAAGCTGCCTCAGGTTCCTGCCTGAACACAAGGTTGGTTCGAACTACACCAGACAAGCTAAAAATCATCCAAAACAATGCTTGCCCAGGAACAGCAAGGAGGTATTTCAGTAAGGTCAGACCTCAGCAGCTGACCTGCTTGCACTGTGCTCCAGCTGCACACAGCAGGACAGAAATGCAGCATCTGAAAATCTTTTGCCAGCCTTACATGCTGCGAGACAGCAGACAGCATTCCTCACTACTGCTTTAATACAGGCACACCTTTCAGCCCCAGTGACAATGGTGCTACAGCCCCATGTGGGCACTGAAGGATCCCTAACTTGATTGAGCTTTTCAGCCCTGCTGCAAAACCAGTCAGAGCAAGCCTACCTTCAGGGCTTAGCACAGAAGAGATCCTCACCAGAAATAAAGAAGCAGGCACCATGTGTACACAGTAAGTCAGATGGGCTGCTGAGAATTTTAATGATTTATTGAAGTATTCTAATTACAGGCTTGAAGTACGTGTTACACATTTAATCACTTTGTTTACTACGTGCGTATATTATTTATAAATAGAATGTTGGAAACCTGAAATTTGTTTGTTGTTGTTTTCTCTGGTCAAGCTCAAGTGCTAGGCTGCAGGCAGGCACAGAATAAAGCACCTTTAATGACAAAGCTGGAGGTTTGTGGCTGGAGGAGGCAGTCCAGATTTGAGCTCATCTGGAGCAGAATGCTTTGCCTCCTCCCACGAGGATTCAGGTGGCTGCTCCCACCCACAGCTGGCTGGTTGAACAAGCTGTTAAGCAGTGGCATAAACTCAGAACAAAAGCCTGGCATGACACTCAGTGCACCTCTGCTAAAAGAGCCACGAGGAGATGACCCTTAGCAGCCCTGCAAACATCACCTTTTTGAACTGCAACGCAAGCATACCGGCATCGTGAGGCTGCTGCTTCCAGGCCACATCTTCTCCCACCGCATTTCACTTGAAATAAAAAAGTAAACGGAAGCATTAGGAAGATCTCTACTTGCCATTTTCTTCTACAGGAGGTCCACAAACTCCTGTGATCCAAATCCAAACGTTTGGCACGATATGGCTGAGATTTTTAGCACTGATCACACTGCCTTCTAACTTGGTGCCAAAAAACAAAGGCTTATTAACACCACTAAGTAATGGGGTTCTCTACCTCTGTACTGCAGCAGTGCCTCCACAGCAGGGCACCCACAAAGAGGCCGTGCACTACATCACAGTGCTGCCCTCGAAAGCAGCTTGATGATAAGAAACTGAAGAATAAGGAAACTCTGAACACAATTCCTGCTCACAGAGCTTCCCAAAGCAAAGCAAAACGCTTGGGAAAGCCCAAGGAGTAACTCTGCAGTACTAGCAATGGGACAAGCTACATGAGCACCAGCATGCTGCCCTCCAGCAACCTCGTGCTGCTTCAGGACTCCTCTATAGCACCGAGACCAATTCTGAAGTGTTCCTGGCGGTGTCTGCCTGTGCTCAGTGTGTGCTGCTGCCTCAGCACTGCTCCTGCACCCACCGCTATGCTCACCTGCAGCAGGATGCAGCCAAGCCCCTTTGCAGACATGGCAAGAGATTGCTCTCACACCAGGGCTGTGGCAAAGCCCACTCTGCCCATCAATTACCTCAGCAGTCCTCTGTGGATGGGAATACTTACCTTTGCTGTCCAACCACAACAGGTGTTGCGCATTGAAAAAGTGATTTCCAAATGTAGTAACAGATGCTCGCAGCCAGGCCTCTTGTCCAGGAGCAGCACACACACGTCCTTGTCAGCACAGCCCCCCAAATCTGCCCCACCACAGCACCAACACAAGGCGTGCGCTTCTCCCTCTCCCACCCACAATTTCCACAGGGGTGCCAGAACAGGATTTGTTGATGTGCAGACTTGCAAATCAGATGCAAGGAAACTTCACAGCAGCTCCTGCAGTGCAGCCCATGTCAAGAATGTTATCAGAGGGTCAGTTCTGAGCTGCATTTCAGAATGGTATTTCCTCTTTGGTTCTTGCTCATAGCTCACTGCTGCCTCCCTGCTGGCCAGGAGCTCAGGGCTCAGCTGCTCATGGCCACACTCACACAGCACAGCAGAGGGAAGATGCATTTCCATAGGAAAAATGGCTTTCAGCAGTGGCCCAGAAGCAATCTGCAGGGCAGCTGCTTCCACTTGGCATCTTCATCCCAAACCACGAAACGTGCACTGCCATCCATCACTGAACAGAACTGCTGCATGCAGGCAGCAATGGCCATCCCATCCAGCCCTGCACTGCTGTCACTCACAGCAGGCTGCAGCCCGTGCCACACACCCTCATCACTGAGCCAGACCTTCAGCTGCTGCTTTTTCAGAGAACAGAAGCAACACTTCTACTTGTTCTCTGTGCAAGACAGTAGGGATCCTATTTCCTCACCTCTAACTCAGTGCTACGGCTCAGAGCCAAGACCAAGGAGCCTGCTTAGCAGGATCTACAGATCACTTCTCACACTGTTATGCTGAACTCCTGGCCACAGAACGGACTAGCCTCATCTCACACCTATCTGTCCATAGCTGAGCACCAGCACTGCCCAGCTCCACTCCTGCAGCATGCCCAGCTCTCACCAGCTCACAGGGGCACAGCCCAACAGCCACACTGCCTCCAGAACAGACACCAGAAGTACCAGTCGTACCACCTCTCAGCAGAAGGCAGCGTTATCAGCAAAAGCTTAGCAGAAAGGGAGAACAGCTTTGGTACTCCACATCCTCCTCATTCTTCGCTATGGGGTATTTCACCTGTGAAAACAACATGCAAGGTGGGCAAGGAAACCACACGCAGAAAGGCCTCCACCAAGGCAACAAAGCACAGCTGCCCACCTCTGTACAAGGCTGCTCACCTGGAAAGCATGCAGGGTTTTAGGATTCTTTTGCACGTTACCAGCTCCATAACTACACTTCTGGGGTCTGGCAGCTTGTTCCAAGTTCTGGTCCCCAGCCTGGTGCCCAGCCATCTCCCACCTGGGAAGCCTGCATGTGTGCCAGCCAGAAGCACACTGCTAGTACTTGGGTCACACCTCAGCACCAGAGCAGCCCTGCCACGCTCTCCATACTCCATCTGGCAGCAACCCTTGCAAACACACTCAGGTGCCCATCACAGCAGATCGCTATCTCAAGACAGTTGCACAAAAGCACAACAGATACTTAACAGAACCAAAAGCAGCTGTTTTTAAAAAACACTATTTTATCACTCACCTAATCCTGCATGCTGACCCTCAGACACAGCCAGCTGATCCTCACATTAATCACAAATTAAACACTAGGATTCATTTTCTTCATTCTTAAAGTAGATAACTCAACATGGGGCTCCCTGGGAAGACTTAGACCAGTTGGAGACAAGCATTACCAGCAGCAGGGACTGAGCCTGAGCCCCCTCCTCCCCCCACCCCCCTGCAGCCTCCTCAGGTGAGGCCACACCATCAGCTTTCCCCATCAGCTTCAAGCTCCCCAGCAAAGCACCACAATGGGCTTTTCCAGCCCCAAATGCGACACGCCAATTGTGCCAGGGCACTCAGCCCCAGCTTGAATATATGGGGAGGGCCTGGAACAGCAGAGCAGAGCACGGGCACGAAACAAAGGCAACAAGGTCCTCAAGAGGACAGTAGAAAAGAAGCAGGTTAGCAAATGCTGCAAGTGTCAGCTTCAGGCATATGTCCTGCATTTATTAAAACAAGAGGTGAGGCTACGCAAACCAATCTCAATGGGCAAAACCGTTACAGTTAAGAGTGGTCTCAGCTCTTCCAACTGCAGACACCACCGTATATTCACACATTCTGATGTTCCATTTTCCTCAAAAATTGCCCGCTCCCACACAGCTAACACTTGCATTTACTGATCAGTCTCCCTTCCTCCCAGCATCAATCCATAAGATGAACTTTCATGCTCAAACCTCACCATTGTTACATTCATAAGCCAATTTGCACCACGTGCTTTTCTCCCTCTCCAGCTTTTTCTGCTGGCCACCTGTTGGCAAACTGCTCAGATTTCAACAGGTTTAGTCCTCTGGATTTGGTGTGACAGCAAAAGTGACAAGCAAGAGGATAGAAGTCAGATAGAAGTCACTACAGAGCAAGCTCACTCATCAGAAATGAGCTACTCAACTCAGAGGGAGATGTTTTCCCAAAGCAAAGTCTGATCCCAGCAATGGAAGTGGTACCATCACCATAGGAAGATCTGGACCACCTGGGGCAGAACCTGGATGAGACACTAATCTCAGTGGTTTCACCTCCACGGGTTTTCATGACATTTTTAAAAGAGCATGAAAATAAACCTTTATTTCAGTTAACACCCACCAATATTAAAGATATATGTTCACAGTTTTAGTTCTTGACACGAATGGACTGAAAGAGGCAAATTTACATCTATCAGAACAGCAGACAGACCAATTTTAAGTACAAGCTGTCTTGAGCACCGTACGTGACGTGCCATTCCGGAAACTGCTCTATTCTCTAAAGCAGAAGGAAAAGCTTCTGGCCAGCCTGGCCCCAATAGACCAACTGGACAGCCCAGAAGGCATCTGGAAAAAAGCAGAGTGACAACTGAAACAGCAGATACACAGTCTGGAGATGGGGAAGGCTTATGTTACAGAGAAAGCTTTTCTGTGAGTGTTTCTGCATGTCAAGGCAATTAGTTGTATTACTCAAGGCGTCCTAAAACTGAAACTGCAGCACATTCTACCAACTCACAGCGGGAGACGGAAGAGAAACACTCAGTGCTGGAAGGAGTGCAGCCCCTGCACCGAGCACCTGCCTGTCTGCTTAGTTGGGAGAAACGAACCAAGAGCTATCACCATCCACCAGCTGAAAACTTGCCTCCTCCTCCCAGCCTGGTGCTTCGAACTGGCAGGTGAGAACACTAGGAAGTCTGATCTGATGGTATTAACAGTGGTTTACAACAAACAAATCTGTAGAAAATAGTTCAGGGAAATCAAGCCAGCCAACGCCACGGTTAAGGAGTTCGGTATTACATAGTCAAAGGTCTCCCATACTTTTTGCCTGTCCTGTACAACTTTTAAAAAAATAGGGCATTACCATTTGTTTTCTATCTACCTAGTTAAGAAACTACAAATGTTTTAAGCTGTCCAAAGTGTAAAACATTAAATAAAATGAGAATCCTGCTTCTAGTCTCCTACTAAATGCTGCAAATAAAAACCCTACGAAACCCTCCTTATTCATCATTCTCTGAACTGCTTTTGGGTACTGAAGTGGTAAGGTCCCCATTGGCAGGGGTTAAATTAAACCTACAAGTTACTACAGGGGTCCAAAGGATTTCTTACAATCGCTCTCTGGAAAACATTCATTTGTCAACCAGCAGTCCAACCTCAAACAGCACACAGATGCAGAACAAAATTTAGACTGAAGGTGAAGCGCTGGGTTCTGTTCTGCACCTTTCTGCATCACACAGACTGCAGTGCCCCGAGTCCTCCTGCCAGAGCTGCCTCTTCAGCAGGGCTGTGGGTGTGTGCTGTGAGCACATGGGATCCCGCTGTCCTGGGGCACCGTGCCACAGCCCTAGAGGAGCAAGAGCTGCAGCTGCCACCTCCCCCCCAGCTCTGCAAAGGAGAGGTGGTTCAGCTACAGGGCACCCTCCCATGAGTGTAAAAACAGAGGTGATTTAAAAGCTTTTTTTTCCTTTTTGCCAACAAAGCTTCTTGTTCTGTTGAAGGAGGGAATAAAAAGGTTAAGAAGGGTGAATGAAGAGTGCCGCACTAATTTTAAAACCTGTTTAGACCAAAGATCCATGTATCGCTGCTGGATACACGGCTACGGAACCAGAACCCAATGTGCTTTGAGTATTTTTCAAGTATCTGGTAACAATTCTGTATAAAGCTTTTGTGTAAACAAACTACCAAGCAGATGAAAAATGACTGTTTTTCCAAGTTTGAAATTAAGCATTAAAACCGAAGTAACTCCAGGAGTTGGTATTTCAGACAGCGCTCAGTCTGCCAAATTAAAATGCCACATATTCCAAAAGACCACGGGCCAATAAAAGCCTGCTAGGCAGGAGCTAAGGGAACACAAGTAGTGTGCAAGGATTCAAATCCAGCTCACAGTTAGGGGAAAATCTCTAAAATCCTGAATTAAAAAAAAAAAACCACAAATGAAGTGAAAGCTTTTAACTGGTACACACTGTTCACACCTATATTTCAAGTTTGGAAACGCATATTTTCAAGCAGCAATACAAAAAAGTATCCATGAAGAATGCATAATCTCTGAAAAAATTATGAA